GCCCTGGGTTCGATTCCTCAGCACCACATAAGCAAAAAGAAAAAAGCCAGAAGTGGTGCTGTGGCTCAAGTGGTAGAGTGCTAGCCTTGAGCTGAAGAGCTGAGGGACAGCGCCCAGACCCAGAGTTCAGGCCCCATGACCTGACCCAAAAAATAAACCATCCTGCTTTCCTAAGGGCAAAGAGAGACATTAATGCCTTCAGCGAAGCAAACTGATCTTATTCAAACCATCCAGTCTCTCTGCTTCCCAGGCCGCCCCTCTTTGGTCTTGGTCCCTGACCAGGTCACGTGACTGTTTCTGAACCAATCATCTGAACCAATCAGTGGGCCCAGCTGGACAGGCTGCTTTGACTGGTTGGACCTGAAGCCATGGATCACATGCCTAGGATCACCAGCTATAGTTGAAGCTGCTCATTTAAATTAGAGATCAGAAAGACAAGTCAATTTCTTAGTGGAAGTATATTCCCACAATATATGAGACATATACCAATAACTCAGTCACTATTTTTTTCTGAAATTCAAGTTCAAGCACTTCATTGCTAAGTATGGCAACCCTTAATGGCTCCCCTCCCAGATAACAGGCTCTGCCCACCTCCCAGGCCCTGGGTTTGAAGAGGCCCTGAGTTCAGATCCTGCCCTACAGGACCAGCTGAGTGCCAGGGTCTGGCCTCCCATCTGGGTCTGGGGGGGGGGTCCCCATGGAGGAAGCGTAGGGTGGCTAGAGGCTGGGCTTGTTTGGAGACTTCTGCAAACTCAAGTCAAGCTCCACTTCTGGCTCTTTAGTGGCTAATTGGAGATAAAGAGTCACAGACTTTCCTGCCCAGGCTGGCTTTGAACTTGGATCCTTTCATCTCAGCCTCCTGGGTAGCTAGGATGACAGGTATGAGCCACTGGCTCCTGGCTCCCCTGTGCACATTTTAAAAAGGAAAAACTGATGGGCTGGGTTTGATCCCCAGTACCCCACCTGGCTTCCTGTGTCCTCCCATCGCTGCTCTACCCGGCACCCCGGCAGCCCGGGGACCGGCCTCGGCCAGTGCTGCGCTGGGCCTGGGTGGAGGCGCTCTGCCGCAACGCTGAGCTTCGGGTCCAGGCTGCCCGCTCCCCTCTGCACTTGCACTTCCACCCATGCCCTTCCCCCAACCCACCTCTGCCAGCCCCCCTGCCCCTCCCCCAGGGCCTCCACATGGCCGAGGTGTGCAGGGGACAAGAGCACTCATTGTGAGACTGGGGAAGGAAGCAGCCGCTTTCATTTCAGTGTTAATTCATGTTTAAGATCATTTATTTAAAAAAATCATCTGAAAAGTTCTAATAAATAATACCCTTCTCATTTATAAACTTGTTTTGTCTGAGACAGGGTCTCCCTGTGTAGCCCAGGCTGCCTGAACTCCTGCCCCGTGCCAGAGGTGCTGGCTAATCCCACTCCTGCAATCCGGTGGCTCGCTGTGCCCAGCTTACCACCTTTCCTTCATTATACGAAAGAACCAGGTCACTTAAGAGCAAGCCCTACCCCACCGCCAGCACGTGTCGGCCCCGGTCCGTCTGATTGGCTGTGGCTGCAGACATCGGCCCTGACCGCTTCTCCAGGGGGGTCAGAAATTCACACCCCTCATGGCAGCCACCGTGGTGGCCAGGCGGCGCGGCAGACCTTTGCTGGCCTGCCTGTAGTCCTCGGGCTTGGCCTTCAGGAGGGTCCCGATGTTCTGCAGGGTGCGGGAGGGCTGCAGGCCCAGGGCGTCCATCACGTTGATCAGATAGTCTGTGGGGAGGGCAGGGGGTCAGCAGCATGCAGGACGGAAGGTCACCCCACTAGGAGCAGGGGGGGGGAGAAGCCCGCGAATCCCCAAATTACGGACACCTGGCCTGCACCTACTGGCCTCGCTTGAGTGGAGTGATCCAAACTTAACAGAGGACTAGGCCACATGGCCACCCCCTGCCCCCCACCCACACCTGTGCTGGCACCCCCATATTCCCCACACACTCCAAAGGGGCAGGGGACATGGCGGCTTGTTGCAAGGACCGTGGAAGGTGGAGGCTGCCTTCCTCTCAGAGGGTTCCTCGGGGCTCAGTCTGATTGGTGCACATTTCTGGGTCAACCCTCTACATCCCCCCCCCTCGCTCCCCCCAATCAGATTGTGAGCATGCGCAAACCAGGACTCCAGGCTCTGTTGTCCCAAAACACAACTACCTGGAGAGGCATGGGGGGGGGGCTAGGTGGGGAAACAGACAGCAGCCAGGGACGCCCCTTCCTCCATCTGGCAAGGCACTGGTGGTACCAGGCGGAGGGAGGGACCCGAGTCATTGCATGGGAGGAAGGGCACAATGGCCCTGGCAGGCCAAGGGTGATCAAAGCTCAGGATTCCTCTCCTTCCTCCTCCCTGGGTGGGCTGATGCAGAGCCCTGCAAGGCTCTTGCCCCCGCCTTACTCTCACGGCTGCTTGGGCCTGTCTTTTACTGGACCTGGGTCTTCCCTTGGGGTCTCCCTTACGAGGTCCAGGTCAGGCTGGACCCCCAGGCGGTGGCTGCCCTGCAGATCACCAGTGGTTGTGTTGCTGATGCTGCTTTGCTGCAGTATCTTCAAGGAGGCGCACGCTGCCCTGGCCCTGGCCCTTGTCTACTGTCACTCCTGCTCGAGTTTCCCATCAGCCTTGCCTCCTCAGCCCAGGCCCTGCCCCTCACAGTGGAGCTCAATCACAAAAGGAAGCATCAAGTGGCTCATGCCTGTCATCCTAGCTACTCAGGAGGCTGAGATCTGGGGATCACAGTTCAAAGCCAGCCCGGGCAGAAAAATCCCAAGACTCCTATCTCCAATGAGCCACTCAAAAACTGCAAGTGGAGCTGTGGCTCGGAGTGGTAGAGCGCTAGCTTTGAGTGAAAAAGCTCAGGGACAGCACCCAGGCCTTGAGTTCAAGCCCCATGACTGACCAAAAAAAAAAAAAAAAAAAAGGCAGCATCTAGTTCTCCCAGAAGGAACCCTGACACACAGCAGGTGCTCAGCCCGTGCTGAGAGGTAGAGCATGAGAACAACTGAAGTCTTGGGAACCCTGCATCTCCCCCCCCTCAATCAGACTTCCTAATCTACCTCCAAACTTGCTGCTCCCAGGGAAGGGCTGCAGCCCCCAGGCCCCCAGGCCAAGCCCAGGCTGGGTCCTGGGGAGCTGATCAGCTGGGCACCCCAAAGCTGCCTTGTGCTGGAGAAGAGGCGAGTCAAAGCAAAGACGCCAGGAGACTGGGGAGACCCCTGAGCCTGCCAGCAGTCCTGACCTGGGCGCCGGACGGCCTTCTGGTGAGGACTGCAAAGCAACGCTGGCTATGGGGCCTCTGGAGGACGACCTGCCTCACCGCCCCGCACGAGGTGAGGGGTCAGCCTACTGGCACCCCATGCCCCACAGTTAAACCACAGCAGACTTCTTCAAGTCACTCTCTGGGTGGGGCTGAGGAATCTGTGTTTTGTTGTTTTTGTACTGGTAACGGGGGCTTGAACTCAGGGACTGGCCTGGCCTTTAGCTTTTTCCTCTAAAAAAAAAAAAAAAAACTCACAGACTTTCCTGGTTGGAAAGTCTGAACCTGAACCCTGATCCTTAGATCTCAGCCTCCTGAGTAGCTAGGATTACAGGTGTGAGCCACAAGCATGGGGCTCAGAATCTGCATTTTTTTTTTTTTTGGTCATGGGGCCTGAACTCTGGGCCTGGACACTGTCCCTCAGCTCTTCAGCTCAAGGCTAGCACTCTACCACTTGAACCACAGCACCACTTTCAGTTTTCTAGTGGTTTATTGGAGATAAGACTTGTCTCACAGCCTTTCTTGCCCGAGCTGGCTTTGAACTGCAATACTCAGATCTCAGCCTTCTGAGTTGCTCAGATTACAGGCATGCGCAACCAGTGCCCAGCCTTTGCATTTAAAAAAAATCAGAAACATGGCAAAGTTAACAGGAGACTTGGGGTAAGTTCCCGGAGGCCAGAGTGTTGGAAGGGGTGGGTTGCAGGTGCAAAAGCAGGCCCGGCACCGCCCAGCCCCAGGCACCCACCGATGTCAGTGGCCAGCTGCTTGGTGGCGTGTGGGGTCAGCTCTGGGATCTGGAGGACCACGTCGCAGTAGGTCTGCATTGTGGCTCTGGCGATGGAGCCCAGCCAGTTGTCGGCCATGTTGTCCAGCTCAGGCAGCTCGTCTCCTAGAAGGGACAGAAAGCCACTGGAGACCTCAGAACCCACTCGGGCGACTTGACCCGCAGGAGTGCTGGGCATGAACCCACCATGGAGCTGAAGAGTGCAGAGGGAAAGACACAGGCAACAGGACAGCGAGGATCTGGGGCAGGGGCACCGAGGAGAGGCGGCGCAGCGTTACTTCACACGTCACACACTTGCTTGATAGTTTCCTTCATTTCAAAAGGGCTTCGCTGCCCACCACCATGATTACGTGCGTATGCACCCATAGCCCAGTTCTGGCAAGCTTAGGTCTTCACACCATAAACTGTACATTCTAGCCCTTGAGAATGTATGAGTAAGCTGAGTGCCAGTGGCTCGTGCCTGTCACTCTAGCTCATCAGGAGGCTGAGATCTGAGGGTCTCAGTTCAAAGCCAGCCTGTGCAGGAACATCTGAGAGACTTTTTTTTTTTTTGGTTAGTTGGTTGTGGAGCCTGAACTCTGGGCCTGGGCACCATCCCTGAGCTTTTCAGCTCAAGGCTAGCACTCTACCACTTGAACCAAAGCGCCACTTCTGGCTTTTTCTGTTTATGTGGTGCTGAGAAATTGAACCCAGTGCGGGCCTCAGGCATGCAAGGCAAGCGTTCTACCACTGGGCCACCTTCCCAACCCTGAGAGATTCTTATCACCAATGAGCCATCAGAAAACCAGAAGTGGTACTGTGGCTTAAAGTGGTAGAGCTCTAGACTTGAGCAAAAAGAGCTGAGTTCAAGCCCTAAGACTGATACAAAAAACCATAAAGCTTAATGTAAATCAAGCACAGTGATCATCCTGTTCAATTCTTTTTTTTTTTTTTTTTCGGTCAGTCATGAGGCCTGAACTCAGCCTGAGCGCTGTCCCTCAGCTCTTTAGCTCAAGGCCAGCACTCTACCACTGAGCCACCTTCCCAACCCATTCAATTCCTTTATAATTCATTTTTGTTTCTTACTCAAGCCTAAAAAGACATTTCTTCCCAGCCATGTGGGCTTTGTCACGTGCTTAATGGATGTCTTTCAGCCGTCTATTTCAGTGCTGTGTTGCGTGACACTGAAGGGCTCTCTTTGGGCTCATCTTATCAACATAAATGAATCACGGGTCTCAATTACTGCCTTTTGATTTGAATTTGCATCTAATTTTTTTTTTTTTTTTTGGTGTCAGTACTGGGGCTTGACTCAAGGCTTGGGTGCTGTCCCTAAGCTTTTCGCTCAAGGCACCCTACCACTTAAGCCACAGCTTCACTTCTGGCTTTTTAGTCGTTTACTGGACATAAGAGTCTCACAGAGGGGGCTGAGAAGCTGGCTCAGTGGTAGATGCATCAGCACCACATAAGCAGAAAAAAGCAGTAAGTGGCGGTGTGGCTCAAGTGGTAGGGTGCTAGCCTTGAGCTGAAGAGCTGAGGGACAGCGCCCAGGCCCAGAGTTCAGGCCCCACTACCAAAAAAAAAAAGTCTCACAGAGGAAGTGGCACTGTGGCTCAAGTGGTAGAGCGCTTGAGCTGAAGAGCTGAAGGACAACTCCCAGACCCAGAGTTCAAGCCACAACCAATAAGAAAAAAAAAAAAAAAGAAGAAGAAAAAGTAATTTTAGCTGGGCACCGGTGGCTCACGCCTGTAATCCTAGCTACTCAGGAGGCTGAGATCTGAAAATCGCAGTTCAAAGCCAGCCCGGGCAGGAAACTCTATGAGACTCTTATCTCCAATAAACCACTAGAAAACCAGGAATGACGCTGTGGCTCACGTGGTAGAGCGCTCACCTTGAGCTAAAGAGTGCAGGGACAGCGCCCAGGCCCAGAGTTCAAGCCCCATGACCAAAAAAAAAAAAAAAAAAGAGTCTCACAGACCCTCCTGCCCGGGCTGGCTTTGAACCACAATCCTCAGATCTCAGCCTCCTGAGCAGCTGGGATGACAGGTGTGAGCCACCAGCATTTTCATCTTTCGGGGTGTTCAACGGAGATGGAGCCCAGGCCTTTGTGCATGGCGGGCAAGCACGCTGCCACTGCGCTACATCCCCAGTGAGCTGCTGTGTCTCTCCAGTTCCAAGTGATTCTTTCTCTGCTCAGCCTTACAGGGGAGGCCCACAATGCCTGACACTGGGTACTAAGATGCTTTGAGATCAGCAAGTACGTGGCCCCTGCGCAAGAAAAGGAAGAGGGTAGCGTGGCGGCTCTGCCTTGTTGTGTAGATTCATTCGGGAGCCCTGCGGAGTGAGAAACAAGCTCCAGACAGAGGTGGCAGGCCAAGACACGAAGCACCATGCTGCCTAACTCCCACAACCACTGCTTAGGGCCGGGAGACCCCAGGTCAGGGATTAGATGGGAGTGTTGAGCAGGAACTTCGCCCCCAAGAGCTCACGGCTGCCGCCACCAGCCATCGCCTCGTCTGGAGCCCTGGGAGCTTCTGCCACTGCTGCCCAGCTGAGGGCCACTGACTGCTGCCATCTACACCCAGTGACACGAGGCAGGCTCACCTTGCTCAGGAGGAAAGGGGAGTTTCCCGGCGTGCAAGGCCAGCTCCAAGGCAGAGTCCTCTTGGGTGACGAAGGGCTCGAGATTCAGGGGCAGGGACATGATATACTGCCCAATCTGAAAGCAAAGAAACACTTTCAGCCCAACGCCAGTGCCTCAGAGACGTGAGCGAGGTGGTTCATCCATGCCAAAGGTGACACCTAGACACGGGTGAGCACCAGCACGCGGTGCTGGTTATGAGGACAGCGTGAAATCCCCCGGGGCCTTGTACCTCATGTCAGATCCACGGATCCACTGTATCTGTGGATCCAGTGACCACACTACACCAAGCATGATGTACCTCAAACGAGGCAGCAGGACCAGAGCGCTTTATGAGACTTGAAGCACTGTGCTAACATGACTTACAGGTGCGTGTGGGCGAAACACCATGATGCAATGCCAACAAGTATCTGGCCCAGTGAGGATTCAAATCCTAGCCCCGGGATTTTGACACAGTCCTCTCCTTTCAAGATGATCTAAACAATTGTAATGGGGGGGGGGGAGGATTGGGTAGGGAGGTGGGGGGAAGATGGGAAGGGATGGAAGAGGAAACAAAGGAGGAGGCTACAATGCTTGATAAGAAATGTACTCATTATCTTGCCCATGGAATTGTAAACCCTCTGTACAGTATGTTCACAATAAAAAAAAAAAAAGATGATCTAAACAAAGCCGGGCATCCAGTGGCTCACGCCTGTAATCCTAGCTACTCAGCAGGCTGAGATCCGAGGATCACGGTTCAAAGCCAGCCCAGGCAGGAAAGTCCGTGAGACTCTTATCTCCAATAAACCACTAGAAAACCGGAAGTGGCGCTGTGGCTCAAGTGGTAGAGCACTTGCCTTGAGCTGAAGAGCTGAGGGACAGCGCCCAGGCCCCACAACCGACAAAAAAAAAAAAAAAGATGATCTAAACAGGAGAGACTCGGGGGAGCCCACGGGCTCTTACGTTGCTGATGTACTCCAGCGGGGTGAGGCTGAAGGCGGGCAGCTCATCCGTCAGCGTTTCTCCAATGCCAGCTGTGTTCCAGCTCTAGGGAGAGAGGGAGAGGAAGGAGAGGAAGCAGTCAACCACACAACGGGGCAGGACACCAAGATGGCGCATGAAGTTCACAGACAGCCTTCCTTACAGGACTGCCCGTGGTCCACACTGCCCGCGGGGACGGCTGTCGCTCCCACCCAGAAGGGTATCTATTCTCCAAAGCCTGCTTGCCTGTCATGGCTAGAGTCATCATTTGTTCTCAGACTTTCCTGTCTAAGCTGGCTTTGAACCACAATCCTCAGATTTCAGCCTCCCTGAGTAGTTAGGATTAGAGGCGTGAGCCACCAGTGCCCAGGGCATCATTCATTCCCTCTATCATCTCGGCCCGACTACCAGAGGGGCACGCATCTGTTTTGATCACCTTGCCAAGAAGATAAAACGGGAGTCAGACCTACACCTACGTCACCAGGCAGAAAAGCTGCCAGATGCGTGGAGTCCACCAGCACCGTGGGGGGAGGACCCCACGCCTCCTCAGAGACCACAGAGCCCCTCGTCTTGGTAGGGCCCAGGACAAGCCTCTACCATCCACCAAAACTACTGTTTTCACTTCCCCTGCCTTCTAGATTCATCTCTCAACTTGTTCAGAGAGCAAGGAGAGAATGAGGCACGGGAGCGTGCCACAGGCAGGCCTCGGCGCCAGCATGGGCTCCGGCCATTGGCTGTGAGTCTGAAGTCACTGCAGAAACTTCCCGGGAAACCCTCAGGACACACGTGCTTCTGTTGGCCCGCCTGCGCCGGCCTGGGCCCCAAAGGCCAACCCGGACAACAAGGCCCTGGCTGGCCGGGCTCCAGGAGTGACTCATGAGGTCACACGGGGGCTGCCTTCAGCCACCACCTGATGCCCCAGCTGGCTGCCTGATCCTTTAAGTAGCATTCCGGGAATGAACGCCCTTCCGCCCTGGGGCCCCTGGCCCAGCTGAAGCCTCGCAGCATCCCCCACGCTCTAGGTGACATTTCCCTCCCCACCCCCACCCCCACCCATTTGATGGACTCCTTGATCTCGCCGGAGAATCCTCCTCCATTCCAAACCCCCTCGTTTTCCCCAGCTACCACCTCCAATCCCACATGAAGGCATGCGACCCACTCAGGATAACCTGGTGCTCGTGATGTAGTGCCACGTGCTAGGCTTCGCTGACAGGACAGAGAAACTGAAGGCTTGGGTCTGAGTCTCATAAGCTACCTGAGAAACAAGGATCCCCGGATATTCCAACCCTCCCAGCCTACATCCCCTCCTCTCCTCTTCCTGTACAAGTGCATGCATGTGCGCACACACGTGTACACATACACGTACACACGTATACACACACACACACACACACAGAGAAGCCGTGAGAGCTCTGTATCAAGCATGAGCATTCTTACAGTAATAGCTGATTAGAGAAGGGCTACGCACAGTGCTGCAAGCTGTGCAGGCAGAAGTAAGGTTGGAAGACTCTGGGCCCAGTGACTCACGCCTGTAATTCTAGCTACTTACGATGCTGAGATCTGAGGATTACGATTTGAAGCCAGCCTGGCAGGAAAGTCTGTGAGACAGCCAGAAATGGAGCTATGGCGCAAGTGGTAGAGCACCAAGCCATGATCACGAACACTTTCGGGACAGTGCCCAGGCTGTGAGTTCAAGTCCCAGTACCAGTACACACAAAAAGAAGGGGCGGGGGGGGGAATTCCTTTGTGAAGAAGGCACAGCTCTGGGAACACAGGGGGAGCCAGGGGATTGCAGAGTGGAGCTCAGGAAAGAGGACGTGATGGGGGCAGTGGCCATGGAAACAGGTGGAAACCCACAGACCAGGAGGAACGAGAAAACTGGGGGGGTGGGGCTGGCCAAGAGAGGCATGGCAGGACTTGGGGACCAGCAATGACCCCGGGGGCAGGGCAGAGCGGGGAGGACTGAGGTGGGCGTCACACGTGTCCACTGGGGTCGAGCACTGCAGGTGAGGCTGGGAAAGGTTCTGAGAGAGCGGGAAGAGCAGGTGAGGATGAGGCTGGGCACAGGAGAGACAGGGAAGGAAGAGAGGGGGAAAGAAGCTGAGGACGGGGCAAGCCCTGAGCGGCGGGCAGGAGAGGTGCGCTTGAAGAGGACAATAGGGAAGTGATGCGATTATTCCTCCATTGTCCACGATTTATTTAAACATGTCCTTCACAGGGGCTTTTTCTAGTCATCTGTCATCAGGCACTGTAAGTACCAATGATCTGTTCTGAAATCAAATACAGTGTTAGCTTATAGTCTTAGAATTCAAAAGAGCAATGGGATTTACCAGCAAACACTAAAAACAAACATCTAATGACCAGGGCTTAATTTCCAAATTCTTTAGGCCCAGTGTTTGCCTTTGGATTGTGTGCTAGGGGCTGGCTCTAGCCAACGTCTAATCTCCAAAGCCACACAGCCTGGCCCGGTGGAGAGGCCGCCGTGAGAAGATGCGACTCCAGCACCACAGCTGAGTCCCAGCGGAGGCCAAAGGACAGGCAGGAGCACTGGGCCAGTTCCAGGGTAGAACAGAGACCAAATCCTGGGAGAAAAGAGCTCCTTGATGAGGAGGCCAGTGCCTGAAGGTTTTTTGTTTTGTTTTGTTTTGGTCGTAGAGCTTGAACTCTGGGCCTGGGCGCTGTCCCTCAGCTCTTCAGCTCAAGGCTAGTGGTCTATCACTTGAGCCACAGTGCCACTTCCGGCTTTTTCTGCTTATGTGGTCGAACCCAGGGCCTCATGCATGCATGGCAAGCACTCTACCACTAAGCCACCTTCCCAGCCCCTTGCCTGAAGTTTCGAATCTGCAGGCAGGGGAGAGAGAGGAGCAGTGTTAGGAAGAGTCATGCCCCGTCTTAGTAAGCTAATTAGTAAGTAAGTAATTAGTAAACTCTGGAGTTCTCAGGAACGAACTTTCTCAACCTTGCAGAGAGTTTCAGGGAAATAATAGCTTCCGCGATGAGGAAACATGACTTCTAGTTTAACAACTCTTTGGTTTCATTTCGTTTCTCTTTGCTTCCTAGCTACATTGAAATGTGTTTATATTGTACACATTTTACAAAAAAACAAAAAACATGTGGGGGGGGGCAGGGAGGGGCGGCTAGAAGCTCACGCCTGTAATCCTAGCTACTCAGGAGGCTAAGGTTTGAGAATTGAGGTTCGAAGCAAGCTTGGGCAAGAAAGTCCATGAGACTCATCTCCAATGAACCAGCAAAAAGCTAGAAGTAGAGCTGTGACTCAAGGATGCTAACCTTGAGCACAAAAGCTCAGAGACAGTGCCCAAGCCCTGAGTTCTAGCCCTAGGACTGTCACGTGCATGCATGTGCGCACGCGCGCACACACACACACACACACACACACACACAACCCACTCAAACCCACAGGATGGAGTCGGACAGGCACTCTCCTGAGTAATATTCCAAAGCTGGTTCTGCCTCAATGCTTCTCTTTCTGAGGACTAAGGGCTGTCCTGAGCTCCCCGACTCCTCAAGCGTCGTTCACAGCCCAGACACTTCCAAGTGGCCACAGCTGTGATGAGCTGACAGGACAGGGACTGTGGCCCCAGACTCCCTGAGTGGGCCAGAGACCATGCAGGCCTAGTGAAATGGACTGCAGACACCGGGGACTCACGTCCATCTTGGAAACGAGCAGCAGCTGCTGTTTGATGCGCAGGAAGACGGAATCGAAGGCCAGCTGGTGGGCTTGCTGGTTGAGCCGGGTCAGGGCTGCCCGGGATGAGGCCAGCAGGGTGTGATTGCTGCAGCCTTTCTCCTTCAACGAGAAAACACAGAGGCAGGCCGTGAGGCCTCGAATCCAACTGAGATTATCAGCTGTCAGCCGAGAATAGTAAGCATTTTCCAGAAGAGAGCAGATCTGGAGTCTAGCTGTGTCCCCTCTCCCCCAACTCCTGGAGAAGCAGGCTGAGGGTCAGACCTGTGAGCTACACCCAGGCCAGATTCTATAAGGGCTGGTCACTGCCCCTGAGCTTTTACACTCAAGGCGAGTGCTCTACCACTTTGAGCCACAGCCCCACTTCCAGTTTTCTGGTGGTTCACTGGAGATGAGTCTCATGGACTTTCCTGCCCAGGCTGGCTTCAAACCACAATCCTCAAATCTCAGGCTCCTGAGTTGCTAGGATGACAGGCATGAGCCTCAGGTACCTGGCATATTATTCTCAACTCACTTTTCCATGTGATTCTGATCCATCTGACCTGAGTATGAAGGCAGCCTGCGATCGCCCCTCGAGGACGGAGGAGATGGAAGACAGCAGAAGCCTCACACACGGACAAGAGTGGTTCCCAGGGGGTCAGGTCAGCCCTGCCTGGCTGAAAGCCAGAGCACGCAGAACCTGTGGGAGTCCCTTCCCACAGCCCGAGAAAATGCAGGGATGGAAAATGTGCCCCTACACTCACCAGCACAAATGAACTGATTACAACAGACATAAATCAGATTAGCAATAAAGATAAACAGAGTTGCCCCAAGCTTAATCTCAAAAGCATGGATGAATGAGTTTATAGAACGGCTCCGAGAAGTGTGTTTGGCAAGCTCAAATCCAACCGGTTGGTGGGCTGGGATGCAGAGGGGGGCGATCTGGGAGGGCACACCAGGGCCTCACACGGGGCCAGGCACACCATAGCGTTCACCCCCTGCACTCAAGGCTGGTCAGCAAATTATAGATTGCATCTCTAATAAAGGGAGGACCAAACCAGACTGGGAAGGAGGGGGCAAGAACTGAATGACACCCCTGCTCTGTTACAACCCTGGGGCGCCCCTTGACTCTTCATTTGATGGGAAGTTCTCTCCGGTGTTTGCACCCAGTGGGCCCAAGACTCAAAGCCAAGGGCAGCTGTGTGGCAGACCAACTAGGGCTGCAAAGACAAACCAGGAGACTTTCATGTTCCCCTGTGAGAAATAATTACACTAGGACAAGTTCTGGCATTCTACAAGCCCTCCCCCAAGGAAGCGGTAACATCTCCATCTGCTTAGTTGTTGTTGTTTTTTCTGTTGTTGTTTTGTGGCAGTCCTGGGGCCTGGGCACTGTCGCTGAGCTTTTCTGCTCAAGGCAAACACTCTACTTCTACTCTGGCTTTCTGGTGGTTAATTGGAGATAAGAGTCTTACAGATTTTCCTGCCTAGGCTGGCTTCGAAAGTCCATCCTCAGTTCTCAACTCCTGAGTAGCTAGGATGACAGGCATGAGCCACCAGCATCCAATTTGGGGTCCTCTTTTTCAGGGTCAGCCTACCTGCAGCCTATATATATCCAGTCCCATTTACCAATCGGTAAAGCGCACTGTCCCTTGTTTCATGGACATTTTAAATTCTGGAGTCAAGTTCAGCAAGGCCATAAGGCTACAGGCCTAAAACCACATTCTTCAACCCACCTTTGATCATCCATACAAGGTGTGACAGGATACACCTGTAATCCAGCACTCAGGAGGCTGAGACGGGAGGATTTGCAAATTCCAGGCCAGCCTGGGCCTCACAGAGACCTGGTCTCAGAAATCCAGTGGGAGGGAGGCTGGGAAGGGATGTGAAGGGTAAACCAAAGGAGGAGGCTGCAATGCTTGGTAAGAAATGTACGCATTATCCTGCCCATGTAATTGTAACCCCTCTGTACAGTATGTTCACAAATAAAAAATAAATTAATTAATTAAAAAGAAAAAAAAAAGAAATCCAGTGGGAGAGCTGGGTACTGGTGGCTCAGGTCTGTAAACCTTAGCTACTCAGGAGGCTGAGATCTGAGGATCAATGTTCAAAGCCAGTCTAGACAAGAAAGTCTATGAGACTCTTAATCTCCAATTAGCCACCCACAAGCCAGAAGTGGAGCTGTGGCTCAAGTGGTAGAGTGCTAGCCTTGAGAACAAAAAAAGAAGAAGCTTGGAAGTAGTACCCAGGCCCTGAGTTCAAGCCTCAAAACTACCACCAAAAAAAAAAGGGGGGGGGATTGGGAGTAGAGAGAAAGACCCCACTGTCCAATTCCTCCAGCTCCATCTCAGTGGGTTTCATTGAGTGTAGTTACCGTTGATTAGCTACCTCATATCTCAATATAAATGACAGTGGCGGCAGGCCACACCACAGGCCAGGCCAGAAAGCCTGCAAAATTGATACCTTGAGGTTATAAAGCATCTCCATCAAGCTGGCGTACTCGGTCGGGCTGTCTTTCTGCAGGTAATTGTACTCCTGCCATGGGTTCCGGGCCGAGCTCTTCTTGTCTGCGAGGACGCCCTCCTGAAGGCCAGCCAGGCTCCGAGGGCTGTAGGAGTCGCACAGATACTTCCCAGCAGTGGCCAAAATCCTGAAACCCAAGCCAAGACCATAATGCCTGGAGCTGTCTGCACCGAGGGCTCTCTCTTACCAGAGAGCAGGGCGGAGGCAGCTGGCACCACGTTGAAGGAGGTTGGGGGTTTACTTCCCAATGTGACAGCCAGCCGGCCCCACCATGCGTAGCACTGGGCGCTTGCTCAGTACACCCTTTTTTGCTATATAAGCACCACCAGGTGGAATTGTCAATGCCAGCATGCGCCTACAGACCACTGTGACTGCAGCGACTCACTGCCCTGCACAGCATTGGTGTTCCCTGGCTCTGCAAAGTTGACTTTTGTGCCAGGCACTGGTGGTTGACACCTGTCAATCCTAGCTACTCAGGAAGCTGAGATCTGAGGGTCACAGTTCCAAGCCAGCCTGGGCAGCAAAGTCCATGAGACTCTATCTCCAATAAACTGTTCAAAACAAAACAAAAAAGCTGGAAATCGAGAGATGGCTCAAGTGGTAGAGCACTAGCTTTGATCACAAAAGCTCAGGGACAAAGGTCAGGCCCCGAGTTCCAGCCCACAGCTGACAACAAACCAAAAGAACAGGACAAAGTTGACTTTTGTGGCTTGGGTGCTTCAGAGTTCTACTCAGAGAAGCTGGCACTCCCCGATTCCTCCGAGAAAGACCACCATCTGACTCACCATCTATGGGAGACTCTCCTTTGGGACTGCTGGGGGCTGTGAGCCCGCCCCATGAGCATGCATACCCTGCCACTGAAAGCACTCTGGCTTCCTGTACCTTCCCTTGCCAAGCGGCCTGGCACTGAGGACAGTATCATTAGAAGAGCATGCCATCACAGTCTCAGGACCGTCTGGGATTGTGCCCAGCCCAGCCACCCACCACTCTGGTTTTCATGACACTCATTCAACTGCGCCCCACCCTCCCGCCCCCCACCCTTCCCAGAGCTGTGCTCCTCACACACAGATCCATTTGCTATGGTCTCCCCGCTTCCCCAGGCCAGGGAGGTCCTGCTTCTCCTCCAGGGTCTGGTCCTGGAGCCCCCTCCTCTGTCACACCTGTCCTCATGTCCCCTGGTCCTGACGCCCCTCCAGTCCGAGCACCCCCTGTGGTGCCACGCATGAGCCAGAGGAATCTGCATACCTGAATTTCTAGTACCTAGCAAAGTGCCTGGCACATGGCAGGCACTCAGTAACTATTTGTGAAGCTGGGTACAGATGGTCACACCTTTAATCCCAGCTACTTGGGAGGCTGAGATTGGGAGGATTGTGGTTCTAGGCTAGCTGGGCAGGCCAGTCAAGCCTCCATCTCAACAGAAGAGGCTGGGCATGGTTCCATGAGCCAACCACCCAGCTCTGACGGGAGGAGGCCTACAGTAGGCCAACTGTGGGTCAGGCATGCACTAGGGAGACTGTGAGACCCCATCTCAAAAACAACTAGTGCAGAAAAGGGTCGGAAGCAAGGCTCAGCTGGAGATCCACCGGCCTTGCTAGTGGGAGGCTTTGGGTTCCAACTCTACAGCACCAAAATAATGACACTGTGGAGTGCCATGGGGTCTGCTGACGCAGAAGGCAGGCCCTCAGGCATCAGCTCCTTTGCAGGGTAGTATGATCATGCCTCAGTCTAGGGCAGCTCAGGGAACTGTCAGCTCCCTGCCCCGGTCTGCCATCCATGCCCCACAATATCAGTTCTTGGCAGCACCACCAGCTTCAAATGGCAGAAGTACAACCCCAAACCCGAAAGAACTGACACCATCCACTACCATCACAGTGAAGAGCTCCGGGCTGGGGGGGGGCATTCAGGCCTTGTCTCCAAAGAGCTCAGAGACCAGTGGTGGTGTCTGTGTGTGTCCCAGCACCATCAGCTCCCAACCCCGCCCCTTCTTGATCACGCCAACGTGTGCACTTCTGCTGGATTCCTGAAGCTGCAATCTACTTTACCACCGTTTCCTGGTGAATCACAGATGATCTAACACTGACAATGGGGAACATCCCAACAAGCTCCCCACGGGCTGAAGATCTCATCTGATACACCCAGCCTCCTGCACACTGCAGCTCAGGCCTGCAGCACACTGGCGCAATGACTGTCCCCAGGTGACAAAGGAGGTCGGGGTGGGGCTGTGGCCCTCGGCAACTGTCCAGCATGGCAGGAGGGCAATGCACTAACCCAGCAAAGACATGATTCCAACTATATTAGTATGGTTTCCCCTGAGTGTGTACCTTTTCTGCACTGCCATAAAAGTGAATGCTAAGAATCGAGGAGAAAGCCAGGCATCAATGGCTCACACCTGTAATCCCAGCCACTCAGAAGGCTGAGATGTGAGGCTCAAGGCTGAAAAGCAGCCTAGGCTGGAAAATCTGAGACTCTTATTTCTTATTAACCACCAAAAAGCTGGAAGTAGAGCTGTGGCTCAAGTGGCAAAGTGCCAGCCTTAAATGGAGAAGTCTAAAGGACAGTAACCAGTCCAGACCCCAGTGTCAGTGCACAATGCACGTGCGCACACACACACACATGCACACACACACACACACGCACACATGCACACACACGAAAAGCCATCATGAGAGGCCCAGTCTGTCAGGGCTCCAGCAGAGACTAGAAAAGCCATGCTGCTCCCTGCCCAGGGCACAGGCTGCCACCCAGCCCAGCCTATCCTCAGCCCGCCCCTGTCGGCAGGGGTGACCTGAGGAGCCCGGGAGCCCGTGCCAGCCTGATGGCTGAAGGTGTCCGTGGTGCTGAGGGCTGCCCCGGCCTGCTACCCCATGCAGCCATGTAAGGAGTGGTCCCTGAGAAGTCTGGGTTTTGCAGGTCCATCGATGGGGGAGATAAGGTAAGCTTTACAGGCAGCAGCCACACACGCTCTGTGCGCCCCCAGACGGGAACGCAGATGGTGGCTGTCCCTTTCCAGGCTCAGAGCTCCCAGGATAACATGACCCCTGTCATAGGCTGCCTTGGCCACGCCCAGGCTGCCCCCGTCACACCAAGCGGGCTGTCAGCTTCGCTCCAGGAATACCCAGTGCAGCACCCAGCCCCAGCCCCTCACCCCCTTCCCAGATCCTCCCCCACTGCAGCCTGATGAGGAACAGTGTGTGATACACGCCAGCCTAAGAGAAAGACACTCAGACACTCCCGTGACTCAGGTGACACGAAGGTGCGAGTCAGTGCCTCTCAGACACAGCTATGGTCCTGGGGCTTGAACTCAGGGCCTGAGCGCTGGCTCTGAACGTGTTCCCACAGCTGTTTCTTTTAACCTAAGAGGCTGTTGCTGGACTCAATGGCTTTTGTCCGTAAAGATGGAATGGGAAGAGTGCCCACCTCTTCAGGCACGGGGCGGGAGGGGAGGTTAATGAGTTGATTCATATTAGTCCCTCCAGTCAGCTCAGTGACAGGGAGTGGGAGAGAGACCGGAAGTGACGCAGCCTGTGGAGGAGCATGTTTTAAGGTGAGCAGATTTTCGGGTTTCACTTTGCTTTTCTCTGCGTGTGTGCCTGCAGGGAAACATGAACTCAGGGCCTCTTACTCTTGCTTAGCTTTTTCCATTGAAAGCGCTTACCACTTGAATCACAGCTCTACTTCCAGCTTTTTGCTGGTTAACTGCTGTCTACCAGGCTGGCTTCAAACCTCAATCCTCAGACCTTAGCCTCCTGAGTAAGCAGGATTACGGATGTGAGCCATCGATGCTCAGCTTCAGGTTTTATTCTGAATACTTGTGAATCGCTTTGCTGTCCCTTTTTTCCTCTCCCCTCCCCCACCTCCAGCGCTGGTGATTGAACCCAGGGCCTTGCACATGCTGGGTAAGGACTATACTGCTGAGCTACGGCCCATTTTGATTCTTGCAAGGACAAATACTATTTAAGAAAATGTGATAATGCATTTCTCCCCACTCCACCCCCCCCTTTTTTTTTTAAAGAGACAATCCCACCATACATCTCTTTTAATTATGTAAGAAATTAGCCAGGTGCTCCTGGCTACTCAGGAGGCTGAGACCCATGGATCAAGGTTCAAAGCCAGCCCAGGCAGGTAAGTCTGTAAGACTCTTAGCTCTAGTTAACCCCCCAAAAATGACAAGTGGGACTATGGCTCAAATGGTAGAGCACTAGCCTTGAGCAAAAAGCTCAGGGATGATGCCCAAACCCTGAGTGCAAGCCCCAGGACCAGCATGCACGTGCACAGGCATGTGCACACACACGCACACACACACGCGCGCGCACACACACACACACACACACACACACTATGTAAGAAATCTCCATCCCCTCTTAAGCATCCTCTGAGCATGCACGTGCAGAGGCAGGCACACACACACACACACACACATACACACACACTCACTATGTAAGAAGTCTCCATCCCCTCTTAAGCATCCGCTGAGCTAACCTGGATCCAACCCTAGGCCAGCCCCTGGTAGCAGAGCCCTGTGTGCCTGTGGAGGTGGGCGGCTCACTTAGCTTCTGCTGTTTACACATGACCCACTGCAGGGCTGCGCTGCGTAGGTTTTAGTCACTCTGCCTGGTTTCTGACAGGGGCAACTTAGGAGTTGCAGCAATGACAGCCCCCTCTACTCTGCCCTGACACAGGACTTCACATATCATGAGAGCCCTGCCCCCCCCCGCCCCACGAAAAAGTGCTACATGTGAAGACAGAGAGTCATGACAAGACACTGGGAGGAGAGAGCAAAAGCTGCTTGGGCAGCCCGTCCCGTCCCACTGCCTCCCACAGTCCTGCCACCAAGACGCTGCTCTACCACACAGGGAGGTTCAAGTAAAATGTCTGTAGGAGCCAGGCATGGAGTTCATGCCTGTTATCCAGCACTCGGGAGGCTGAGTCAGGACTACATTGAAAGGCCAGCCTGGGCTGCATAGAGAAACCCAGTGTTTAAAAAAAAAAAAAAAAAAAAGGCACGCCTAGAATCCTAGCTATTCAGCAGGCTGAAATCTGAGCATTACACTTTGAAGCCAACCCCGGGCAGCAAAATCCATGAGCCTCTTTATCTCCATTAAACCACAGAGAAAAAGCTGGAAGTGGTGCTATGGCTCAAGTGGTAGCACACTAGCCTTGAGCACAAAGAAGCTCAGGGACAGGGCCCAGATCCCGAGTTTGAAGCTCCAGGACTGGCAACAAAGAAAAAAGAAAAAAGGGGGGGGGATGGGGAGAAAGAAGAAGAAGAAGAAAAATAATGTGCGTGGAGGGGCTGGGAAGGTGGCCCAATGGTAGAGTGCTTGCCTCGCATGCATGAGGCCCAGGGTTCGATTCCTTAGCACCACATAAGCAGAAAAAGCTAGAAGTGGCGCTGTGGCTCAAGTGGTAAGGCGCTAGCCTTGAGCTGTCCAAGCCCCACACTAATCAAAAAAATAAAATAAAAAATAAAAAAGTGCATGGAACTCCTAGACTACAGAAATCAGTTGAACTAAGGGAATCTGTGAGCCCTTTTCTGAGCTGTCTTGATGGGTCGATGGGTCTTCCAGGGTAACTTAAGCACAGCTGGGGAAGGGACAACACATTTCTCCTAGAGAGCCCCTGTCGGAAAACACACCCCTTGGCACCCCACAGTTCTGCTTTGGATGCAAGGCAGCTGTCTGGAGCCTGACTCACCACTTGCGACACTTTATTTCTCCAGGGAAATTTATTTGGAGCCCAATAACAGCCTTACAAGCAATCAATAGGAGCCCAGCCCATGTATAATTTGGAAACATGGTGTACTGTTTCCTCATTTAGACTGAGACCTCCATACCTAACCAAATTTACGTGAGCACTGCCAAGTAGGATGGAGCCTTGCCCTTCTTCAGTGGCTCAATAAATGTTTAATGATGACAATAATGACACCTCATGTCTGGGGACAGACAGTTCCTGGGCCCCGTGGCTTCTAGACCATATATTTCCCTTGGAGTGCTGTGTACTAGATCAAGTTCCTCCCAATCCAGAACCCCAGGCGTAAGGTGGAGGGCAGGGAGGCCGCCCCTCTCCTACCTGTTTGCTAGCTGCTGCTCAAAGTCCCCACACTGCCGCAAGAGCTCTCCACAGGTGGCTATTATCCTAAACAAAACAGAAAAAGCACTTCAAGTTCAAGTGCCTGGAATGCCAACATTTACAGGGCAAACACTGTCTCATTCATAAAAATTCTAAGTATTCACTCCTCCTGGTGCCACTGGGCTCTGGGAACCGTGTTAACCACTTGCTGGCCCACGGCTAAGCTGTCATTAGTTGGTGGTTAATGTAAAAGGTAAATGTCTGTCCTTTCCAATATCCTCCCAGGTAGGGTCGCTTCCAATAACTGACATTTTCAACACACTGAGGAGATTTGCCTTTGAGAAGCAAGGTTAGGAATACTTTTTATTTAAATGTTTAAGTTAAGGGCTGGGAATGTGGCTTAATGGTAGAGTGCTTGCCTAGCATACATGAAGCCCTGGTTCGATTCCTCAGTACCACCTACACAGAAAAAGCCAGAAGTGGCACTGTGACTCAAGTGGTAAGAGTAGCTTTGACTGGCAATAAACAAACAAACAAATGTTTCAAAAGGTATTGACCTATTATCTTTGGATGCCTGCTATCTGCAACACTAGACCTGTTACTTGGTATTCCATGTCTCTTCTCCACTCTCCTAAAAGGCAGATGGAGACTAGGTCATTTGTGCCTCAGAGATCAGCCTGGGTGATGGGCTGTGTGTGCCATTCATACGCCTTTAATTCTCAGGTGACTCTGTGCCAGGTCTCAAGCTGTAGTGGCTACTGAGTCCTTCAACGCTGAGCTCATAATAATGTCAGGACAAATCCAAGGATTAAAAAAAATATTTCAGGCCTAGTTAATGTTTAACTTCCTCTAAAAGGGCCTGTCATCACCAGGGTATCTGAGCATTCCATCATAAGAAAGGTTTATGAGAAAGTAAAATATTCCATTTGCCTTTGGCACAACACAGCTAATGTACGCAGACTATTTCCCCACATGCCAAGTCACCAATCGGTAACGGGGGTTGCAAGCTAGCATCTAGAACATTGAAAGTCCATAAAGCAATGGCCTGAAGTCCTTAGATCTTCTCTGACAGTCTCAGCGGGTCATGATCACCCAGAAAAGTAGAGGTGACGCAGGCGGGCCCCACGGCTGGAGGTCAGGCAAAAAAATGCAAGTGGGGGCAGTGGGCCATGTGCAGAGCAGCTTGTATCTTTGGAATGTAGACCCGTGAAGAATGGTTTGAAAGAAACTTTGAGATTTGTGTATCACCTGAAGAATGTAGTTGTTGGGCTACTTGGGAAGAGAAAAGTACAGAGCCAGGCCTAGTGGAGTGCAGGGACAAACTGACAGTTTGGCTCACTTAGACTATGGCTTTCAGTTACAGAGGAAATCAGAATTCTGTGGCCAGGCATTCATGGCTCATCATCCCAACTAATCAAGAGGCTGAGATCTGAGAATCCCAGCTCAAAGCTAGGTCTGGCAAAAATGTCCATGAGACTCTTATTTCCAGTTAACTACCAAAATGCCAGAAGTGGAGGTATAGCTCAAGTAACAGAGTGCCGGCCCTGAGTTAAAAAGCTAAAGGACAGTGCCCAGGCCCTGGAGTTCAAGCCCCAGGACTGGCACAAAAGCAAACAAACACAAGAGATCTGGATTGGGTTAATCTGGTTTTAAAATGTTGGCAATGAATCCCAATTGCTTCCAAATGTTATGATCAAAAAAAGCATGACTGTGGGACAGACCTGCTAGCCTGCCTTCTCTGGCTGGATGTGTTCAAGGGCCAAACCTCCTAAGGTCGCTGCTGGGGGAAGGGCAGCAGGGTGTCCACTATGGGCCCAGGATGGCGAGGACTAAGTCAGAATCTGACCAGTCACTCAATGCCTTTCAGACAGACACATAGCCCTGCCTCACGGCTTAGCCCTGTGCGTCTCAGATCACCAGAGCCTTGCTAAGTGGGAGAATCCCATACCACATAGAAAAACTTGAAACTTGAAGTCAAAACCCAAGATGAGGCATTCAGAAGGCACTTTAAAAAACAGTTCAAGTGAAAGCCGGGCACTGGTGGCTCACACCTGTCGTCCTAGCTACTCAGGAGGCTGAGATCTGAGGACTACAGTTCAAAGCCAGCCTGGGCAAGAAAAATCCATGAGACTCTTTATCTCCAATGAACCACCAGAAAACCAGAGTGGCACTGTGGCTCAAGTGGTAAAGCACTCAGCTTGAGCTGAATTGCTCAAGGACCGCGACCAGGCCTGGAGTTCAAGCCCCACAACCAACAACAACAACAACAAAAATGAAATAGAAAAGGATAATGAAAGAGAAACATGAATGCCTTCTCAGGCCACTTGCTTCCTGCACACACAATGCCAGCACAGTGGTGTTTGCTACATCAGCCCACGCTGAAGTCATGCCCCGTTACCTGATGGAATTCTGAAACGCCGTCCAGTCTTCCTGGAACAGGGAGCTGGGAGGGATGTCATCCAGTTTGCACTTCTTCCGGATGGACTGGAGTGCATTGGTGAAATCTGACACATACCTAGGGGAAGGGAGGAAGGACAGATCTGGGCACACCCACAATCCCACAGCTGTGAACAGACTGCTAAAAGCCTTGAGAAGGTTTTTCAAGGCTCCCAACCCTTAGGAACATGAATGAAAAACATGTCCATGTGACAGACCATCTTAATCATATGGAAGGGCAACAGGAGAGGTACGGAATGCTAGGGCTGATGGTTCAACGGCCATAATGCTAGCTACTCAGGAGGCTGAGATCTGAGGGTTGCAGTTCAAAGCCAGCTCTGACAGGAAAGTCTGTGAGGCTTTTATCTCCAATGAACCACCAGAAAACTGGAAGTGGAGCTGTGGTTCAAGTGGTAGGGCACCATCCTTGAATGAAAAAAGTGAAGTACGGCACCTAGGCCCCAAATTCAAATCCCAGTACTGGCTCAAAAAACCGAAACACAAAGGCAGAGTACTGAAAGCTGTTCTCTGCTGTACAATCCAGACCCAAAGATCTGCTATTCTTCTCTTTGCAGAAAAAGCTTTCGAAAATATATTCCATTGTTTTCAGTTCTTTCTCACATGGTGTACTAGTAGCCTTTGCATCGTGCTACAACTGCTTTTCACTTTGTAGTGTTTTTGAGCTCCACCTGCATCATTATGTGCAGAGTTCCTCTGTGAATATCTCGTTTGCTGAGGAATGGCTGAACCCTAGAGGAGAAACACTGGGTTGCTTCAAATCTATCTTTGTGATCCGTACTGCAGTGGACATCCGTAAAAACGTCCTGGGGCTCAGATGCAGGAATACAGAACATGCGTTCAAATGGCTCAGCCGCCACCCTCCAGAAGGCCCAGCCCCATCCCCGCGCCCTGGCCTTACTTGGCAAAGAGGGATTTCAGGGCTGTCAGCAGGCCACAGGTTCCCAGGCCATTGGTGAACTGGGCACATCGGTCGACAGCTGCAGATGCCAGGCTGAAGAGCTTGTTCACGGAGTGGCTCAGCTCCTGCACACAGTCAATGACTTCCCCGTGCTCCTGCAGTGATGCCCACCAGCGGGAGTCGCATCAGACTCCAGTAGCCCAGGACAGGCAATATTAAGACAATGGAGGGGCTGGGGATGTGGCTTAGTGGTAGAGTGCTTGCCTGGCATGTGGAAAACCCCAGGTTCAATTCCTCAGTAACCCATAAACAGAAAAGGCTGGAAGTGGTGCTGTGGTTCAAGTGTTAGAGTGTTTTTGTTTTGGTGTGCTAGTCCTGGGGCTTGAACTCAGAGCCTGGGCGTTGTCCCTGGGATTCTTTTTTTTCTCAAGGCTAGTGATCGACCACTTGAGACACAGCTCCATTTCTGGCTTTTTCTGAGTAGTTTATTGGAGAATAGTCTCACAAACCTTCCTACCCAGCCCAGCTTCAAACTGTGATCCTCAGATCTCAGCCTGTAGAGTAGCTAGGATTACAGGCTTGCGCAACTGCACTCAGCCACCCTGGAGTTTTTAATTCCTTCCCTCTTTCTTCTGTGCTAGAGACCACACTTTGTCACCGAAGCTCTCAAGCTATGATTCAAATTCCCCCTATTAGGCACTCCAGAATGGACCAGGAAAATGCTTCCTTCCCAGGTAAGAATGTAACCGGAATGGAACAGACTTTCTAGGTTTGTCCCTAGAAAATAGGAAAAATGGCAAGAGGCAATGGACCTTTACCAGCTCAGATCAAAGCTTATGTGGCCACTCCCCTCCTGCCACACAACCTTAAATGACTTGAGCCCAACAGACATCGTCTGAGACAGAGATGGCCTGTCCCTCTGTGTCCTGGGGCCCACACGGTGCCCCTGGCCCACAGCAGTGTCCTTGAACACTAAGCTCCTCCTGTGTACTATTTCTAAATTTCATGTTCTCTATAAAGTAAAGGCCTCTTTAGGAAGAAATTGCTAAACCCATGGTAGGTAACAAATTCTCTTTTCTAGATCTCTAGTGGGAATGTGTGTGTGTGTGTGCGCGCGCACGCGTGCGTGCATTCACACATGAGCATGAATGCATGCACCAGTACTGGGGCTTGAACTCAGGGCCAGAGCACTGTTCCTGAGCTTTTTATGCTCAAGGTTAGTACTCTACCATTTGAGCCACAGTTCCACTTCCAGCTTTTTGCTGGTTAATTGAAGAAAAGTCTCACGGACTTTTCTGCCCAGGCTGGCTTCTAGCCATAATCCTGAGATCTCAATAACAAGCGTGAGCCACCAGCACCGGGCTTTTAGTGGTGATTCTAAATGAGTATGTGGTCACTCCCATACTCTCATTTTACAGTTAGTCAGAAGCCCTCCCGGCCCTCCGGGGTACGCTGAGGGCCTGGCACACAGAGCGCTCCCTGGTGGCCAGCGGCCTTACCAGTGGCACAGCGCTGATCTGGATGAGGAGGTTGCTCTCTTCTAGGCTGCCATACTTCAGCTGGTAGGGTTTGTAAGGCCCATACACCGCATCCACCAGCTCCACCACTTTCACCAGGTTGTACTCATCTGTAAGGGATCAGACATCAAAGAACAAACAGTGAAGGCAACAGGCTAGAACTTGTCCTATTCTGTCTTTGGGGTGACTGTATTTACTTCATCTGCTTTTAATGCTCGTGGAAGCTTCTTTAATCGTCTCTTCAAAAAGCATCTCCAGAAAGCTGGCTTTGTGTGTTGCCTGCTGAAAGCACATTATTATAAAGACTCCAGCCTCATAGTCTCCTAACCTGTCCCTTCCCATGCAAACTCTTGTCAGGGACACACACAAAACTGCTACTGAATGCTGAGCACTGGCAACCCATGCCTAGAGCCTTAGCGATTCAGGAGGCTGAGGTCTGAGGATTATGGTTTGAAGTCAGCCCAGACAAGAAAGTTCATCTCTAATTTATCAGCCAAAGCCAGAAGTGGGGCTGCTGCTCAAGTTGGAGAGTGCTAGCCTTGATTGAAAAAAGCTAAGGGACAGCACCTAGGCCCTGAGTTGAAGCTCCAATACCTGTGTTAAAAAAATTTTTAAGCCCGGTGCCAGTGGCTCACGCCTGTAATCCTAGCTAGCTAGTCAGGAGGCTGAGATCTGAGGATCGAGGTTCAAAGCCAGCCCGGGCAGGAGACTCTGTGAGACTCTTATCTCCAATAAACCACCAGAAAACCCGGAAGTGGTGCTGTAGCTCAAGTGGTAGAGCGCTTGCCTTGAGCTGAAGAGCTGAGGGATAGCGCTCAGGCCCAGAGTTCAAGCCCCACGACCAAAAAAAAAAAATTTTTTTTTAAAGACACCCTGGCTTCTGACAGGTTAATAAAAGGATCTGTCTGCCTGGGATAACTTTGAACTGAGATCTTCACATTTCAGGCTTTGGAGCAGCTAGGACTACAGGCATGAGCTACCAGCACCTGCCCAGAGTCTACTTACAATTGAGTGAATAAAAATATTTCATTATCCAGAATGCAGCCATAGAAAATTACATGTGGCATGCACATATTCTCTTCTCTCCCCCCCCACCCCCCACTCACACATACACACAGAGCTGAAATACAGGAAACTCACTGAATGCTGAGAGAATGCCATCGAGGGGATTATTCTGCTAAAATATAGTATATGAACATGTAATATGCCATGGTGAATCTCCCTGGTATGACATACACTAAAAATATGAATGACAAGAGAACAAAGCAGGCTCCGTTGGGGATGGGAGAGTATGATCCAGTACTTTAAATGCACATATGAAGAAAACGGAACAATCACACCTGCTGAAATGGCTTTAAGGGGGAGAGCAGAAATGAGTTTGGTGAGTAGACCGTATGCATGTATGGGAATGTCACAGTGAAACCCTATTGTAATGTATGCTAACACAAAATTCCTTGAAAAAAAAAAAGAGGTAAAAAGAACAAGTGGTATTAAATTTGATTCAGAAGTAAACTAGCCATTTTTGTTTTTAAACCAAAACAAGATTTTGTTTGGGTTTTTTTGTGGAGATAGGGTTTTTCTGGCCTTAAAGTCACTACGTACTCTAGTTGGCCTTGAAATAAAAAACTCTCCTGCCTTAGCCTCCAGGGTGCTGGGATTACAGATTACAGCCATCATACATGGCTTCATCTAGGCTTTTTAAAATAATAATAATTTTGACAACAAATGCAACAGTGGTACTCACTAGACACCATGCTGAAAATGAATTACATAACTTTTGGGGGGGGCGGGGGTCCGGTCGTGGGGCCTGAACTCTGGGTCTGGGCGCTGTCCCTCAGCTCTTCAGGTCAAGGCTAGCGCTCTACCACTTGAGCCACAGCACCACTTCCAGCTTTTTTCTTTTTTGCTTATGTGGTACTGGGGAATCGAACCCAGGGCCTCATGCATACAAGGCAAGCGCTCTACCACTGAGCCACCTTCCCAGCCCTGAATTACATAACTGATAGGTGGGGATGGGTAGGAAAAACTGGGAGAGAGAGAGAGAAGGGATGACAGTGTCCAAAAAGAAATGTACTCTTTACCTGACTTATGGAACTATAACCCCTCTGAACATCACCTTTATAATAACAATAAAAATAATTCTGACACCAATAAGAATAGTAACAATGGGGGGAGGGCGGGGGGAGGCTGGGAAGGGATGAGAAGGGTAAACAAAGGAGGAGGCTACAATGCTTGATAAGAAATGTATTCACTATCTTGCCCATGTAATTATAACCCCTCTGTACAGTATTTTCACAATAAAAAATAAAATTAAAAAAAATAAATTTAAAAAAAGAATAGTAACAATGGATCATAACACATTGAATTTTTTTAAAACCATGAGTTTGTAGTGATAATAAAGAGAAAACCAGATGTTAGTAACGTGTACTTAAAATTCTAGCATTTGGAAGGCTGAAACAAGAGGATCTTCTATTTGAGGACAGTCTGGACTACACAGCAAGACTCTGTCTCAAAAATAAACTGAAAAGAAGAAATGAGAGAGTGAAGACAAGAAGGTGTTCCCTCTACAAAATGCCACAGAATAAGAGTTAAGAAATCTGTTTCATAATCAACAATGTAAGAAGTTATCAATGGAGGCTAAAGTAAATGCCGCTTAGGGAATGAGACAGTCCTGTAAGCTCAGTGTCTGGCTCCATACTTAATAATGCCCCAAATCACATGCACCACATGGTTAATCTAGCCTGTCACTAACAGCTGGACAGCCTGTGCCTCCTGAAGCAATACAATCTATGCACTGGTGTCAGCGCAAGACTTTTGCCAAAAAAATGTCTGATCTAAATCTAGGAATGAGGAAGAGATGGACAACTGAAAACTTGGGGCCGTCCTATGGGAAAATGACCCTGTCTTCTTCACAAATGGCAATGAAATGCCTGCTGGAGATGAAGAGAGATGGAAGAGACGGGCAGCCTAGCATGACCATCCACACATTGCATCTCAGCTGTAACGGCATCTCAGAACCGGGAGAGTAAGAGCACTGACGGTATCACAGACAATACGGAATCAGTATTAAAAAAGTTCTCGTTGTGATAATGGCAATAAAACATTCTACTAAAGACACAAAATCCCAGCACTGGTGGCTGAGTCAGAAGAATCATGAGTTCAGGGACAGCCTGAGGTACATAATGAGAAATTTGACTCAAAAAACTGATATACAAGCTGGGCGCCAGTGGCTCATGCCTGTAATCCTAGCTACTCAGGAGGCTGAGATCTGAGGATCGCGGTTCAAAGCCAGCCCGGGCAGGAAAGACCGTGAGACCCTTATCTCCAATAAACCACCAGAAAACCGGAAGTGGTGCTGTAGCTCAAGTGGTAGAGCGCTCGCCTTGAGCTGAAGAGCTGAGGGACAGCACCCAGGCCCAGAGTTCAAGCCCCACACCGACAAGAAAAAAAACACCTCATATACAAACTCTATTGGGATGGTAGACTGATGATTTTTTTTAATCCTTCCTTGTATTTTCAGATTTTTCTATAATAAATACATATTGTAACCAGGCACAGTAGCCCACACTTCTAATACGAAAATACTTGAGAAACTAAGATAAGGAAGATTATGATTCAAGGCCAGCCTGGGCAATACAGTTCATAAGACCCCATTCTCAGTCAATAAAATATCTGGGCATAGTGGGATGAACTTGTTATCTCAGCTATGCAGATAGTAGGACAGAAGGATCATGGGGCAGCCAAAAAAGCAAAACCCTATTTAAAAAGTGACCAAAAGAAGGACTAAAAAAAAAAGTTGGCAAGTATGGCTCAGCAGTAGAGCACCAGCCTAGCAAGAGTGAGGTGAGGGCCTGAGTTCAAACCCCAGTAGTATACAATAAATAAATACATATATACACGCTGCTTACTGATCATAAAGTCAACCTATATTTGTGTGTGTCTATGTGTGTGTGCACGCACGCGCGCACACACATACACACACATACACACACACACACACACACACACACACACACACGTGCGCACAACAGGCCTGGGGCTTGAACTCAAGAGCCTGGATGTCCCTGAACTTTTTTTTTCCCCTCAAGCCTCGTGCTCTACCATTTGAAGAAGCAGAAAGGTCCCCTGTCCCACTCTGCTTTGGCAGGACTCAGGGCTCAACATTCCTGAGCCACTTGCACCCGGGCAGCCCCTGACATCCACTGTGCCTCTCCCAGTACTGGGGCCTGGCCAGGGAGTATGCCAAAAATACCTGTGAATCACCAGGAACCCGAACAATAAATACACTCCCTGGGAATGTCCAGGTAATTAAACACAAGGTAATTAAGGAGAGTAACTATTAAATAAACGGAGTCAGTGACACACGGCAGCCACATGGCAGAACGGGGACCTTCCTGAAGCCATTTCCTGATTTGCCAACAGCATACGTCAGGAGGGCAACACTGACACTTGATGAGGCTTCCACATGGATGTGAACAGCTGGCAAGAGCCACAGACCAGATGTGCTGACCCAGAAGGGAAGGACAAGTGTTTTGCTCCTAGTTGGCCTTGGAGAACCTCCATTCCCTCCAGCCCAGCCCTCCTAGCCCGGCTCCCCTGTCCTGCAAGCCTGCTGAAGTCCTTCCAAAAACTGCCCTGTGTACCCAGTGCCTGGGAAGATGGGGCCTGAGACAATACACTAAACACCATTTCCCCCAGGGTAATGTTCCCATGGAAAAGCCTTATGTATGTGTGGGGAAGATCATCACTACTCTGACCCCCTCTTTCTTCATCTCGTGTGTGTGTGTGTGTGTGTGTGTGTGTGTGTGTGTGTGTGTGTTGCTATTAGAGGTTGAACTCAAGGTCTGGGAATAGTCCCTGAAAGTGCGGAAGATTAGAGGTTGAACTCAAGGTCTGGGAATAGTCCCTGAAAGTGTTCTATCACTTGAACTCAAGGGCTAGGCACCGTCCCTGAGGGTGCTCTACCACTTGAGCCACAGCTCTATTTCCAGCTTTTTGCTGATGCATTAGAGGTAAGAGTCTCGTATACTTTCCTGCCTGGCCTGGCTTCAAACTGTGATCCTCCTATTCAGCCTTCTGAGGTAGCTAGGTTTACAGACATGAGCCACCAGCGTTCATGGACACCACCTCAGAATATTGTGCCCAGGCCCCAGAAGCCTCCACATGAGTGAGCGGAGTGAAGACAAGCCAGAGAGGAGGGGAGACATGACTCCTCACTCACGTGGGTGGGGAAGAAGAGCCATCTCCAGTGCCTTGGCGAAGTGGGCGGTAGTATCGTAGAACTCCAGCAGCTTGCTGAGCTCCAGCTCGGGCCCCGCCCGCTCCACCCCGGCGCTGAGGCACCCGGGCAAGGAGGGCACCAGGGCCCCCAGGGTCTGAATCAGCAGCACCGTCACCACCTCGTGGGGATTTTTGAAAACCTGCAGAGGGAGAAATGGATGAGCTTGGGTAGCATCCAAGTACACGTGCCTCAAAGAAACGAATGGCCCTGATCAGCTGGGCTGGAGCTGCAAGCTTAAGAGGGCTCAGGAAGGAGGGGGGCACACTGGCAATATCACAGCTGCCACTGGCCAGAATGCTGTTTGCAGATTTATGGACTATTCTCCTGTAGCATTTAACTGACTAGAAAGAACTTGAGAAGGGAAGGATGGAGACGCTACGTGGCCAGGTAAAAAGTGAGGAATGGAGATGGAATAAAAGGAGCAATGCACTGAAGGAGAGCTGGAAGCATCTGTCCACAAACCCACAGTCAGCCCTGCACCACTGCTACCCAACACGAGCCTTCTGTCTCGATGGATTCTCACAGCATCAGCAGGAAAGGAGTATCTAGAGTCTTCCATTCTGAACTCACTGACAGCCTCTCTCCCCATTCCATGTACGCTAGCTCTGTTGGACTAACTCAAATCATGTCAGCCCATTCAGAGGGGCCTCACACACACCCCAGGTTGAGTAAATTACTGTAATGACGTATCTCAAACACATATGAACAATGAAATAAAATATATGAACTGCTTTAGGCAAATCTAAGGCCAAAAAAGGTATAAATTTGCCACCAATAAAATTCAGTTTGGGGCCAGGTGCTGTTGGCTCACACATGTAATTGTAGCTACTAAGGAGGCTGAGATCATGGTTCAAAGCCAGCCCAGGAGGAAAGTC